AAAAAAAGTGGGCCCTGACCATAAACCAATTATAATATGGATAACTATGATATTGGCATAACGCGTAATAAAATTTTCCAAACGAAAATTGGAAGTAGATTGTTCTCAATTAAATTAATTGGGGGTGTCTAACAAATAATAGTGTTAAACCATTTATCGATATCACAATTAATATTTATTAAAATGTTGAGATTTACGTCACTAATATTAACAAGACACAGTCTTTATTATATAATATGAAAAATTATTCTCATAATTTAAAGTTTGAGCAGTAATTTCCCAAATTTCAAATTGCAAACACCATGCAATCATTCTACTGCATGTATCAAATCTATTAGATACAAAGAATATTTAGATGACCAAAGTGTAGGATGATGGGGTTGCATTTATCATCCTAATTAATTTTCAGAAATATAGGGAATTTAGTTCCTATTTTAACTAGTGATGGTTAATGAAGTTTTTTTATGAAAGAGAACAAACATCACATAGGATTGAATTGAAGAATCTTCTAGTTTTTTCTTGAATATCCATTTGAATAATTTCGCATCATTATTAATCCAGTAATAATCCAACTGATCATGTCAAATAATAAAGTCAATTTGAGGTTCAATATAAAATATAATTCGATGATTTAATTTTGAAGAATACAATTAAAACTTATGTAATTATATATCATTTAGATAGTCAAACTAATCAACGTTTTCATAACATTAATTATAAGTTTTCCTTTAGGGATAACCAAAAATTTAAAATGATATCTTTTTGAAAATGTGCTACTTCTTGAGCACATTATCTTTAATTATTATTTCTTCAAAAGCGATATGTCAGTATTATTCTGGAATATTGAACATTGTAATTCATGCTCTTCAAGAGCGATAAACTAATATTCTTATTGAATGTTAATAATATAGAAAATTATTTTTCTTTATATATTACAACCCAATATAGAGTTGTTTAATTTTTATTTTATCAAGAACATAATGAGGTATATATTATTCGTGATATGTGCTATTTCGAGAGTACGTTATATTTTATTACTAGTTCTTCAAGAGAAAAAATCAATATTCTTCTAGAATATTTAAAATAATATTACGCTCTTCAAGAGCAATAAACATAATATTCTTTTGGAACATTAATTCTAATGTTGTGCTATTTCAGAAGTAACAACACGATAAATTATTAATTTAAAATTGACAAAAAATATATAAAAATATTTAATTACCATATAGATACGATATGAATTTATATAGAAAATAAATTACCAAAAATTTATAAATAAAAAAATCTTCCAAACATGCACATAAATTGACTTCATATATAGATATGTAAATAGGACAAAGTAATCATTATGCATATAATAAAATAATCATTATAGATTTGCATACAAGCACAAAATAATATAGAAGAACTAAAAACAGCAGCAGCAACTTCGTTTTGATATATATGTATGTAAAAAAATTCACATATCGCCAAATTATTTTTGATATACGTGATAAATATTTATACTTATAAAAAACTATTTCCTTCACAAAATTTTGAAAAATTAAGTTATCGTGCTGATGACGTATTATGAAAAGAGAGAATAAAAATCAATAAACTTGTATGTATTTTTATTAAGAACCAAATCCCTATATTTATAGGGAAAAATCAGAAATACAACGATAATAACTTATAGAATTGCAAAGATACAATTGTCATTCACTAATAAATTTACCATTTACAACAATAGTGAATTTAAGTAATATTCGTATATGCATTTACCAAACTTTGTAAACTTTTGCGTTTTTTACGTTTCCTTTTCATTTTGGCAATGTTTTTTAAAAAAATTATAATATGATCAAATACTATTTTTATATAACTCATTTTTTAACTCATAAATTTCATTCTACTTTTTATCCATATATTTTATAGGATTCGCGATTGATAGTTTGCATAATTCTGCTCCCTTGGACACCATTGGAGGGCAGCTTTGCTTGTCTCGAGAGAAAAATACGGCACGCAATTAAATTTCTGCATGATTGAATTAAAAAAAAATTATGTTGAAAGAGCAAGTTATAGGCTTTGAGCAAATATGTGGAGGAAGAAAGGTAGATTTTGGTCCAACATAAAAATTAGAATTTCACGTGAGCCTACGTTAATTTTTCAAATTTTTATTAAAAAAAAATTAAATTAAGTAACAACAAAATAATTAACGCATATAACTAATTAAATTGGTTAAATATTCAATTTATTCAATAGTTTGTGGGTTTACCGTTTAGACAGAGCATACACGAGATTATCTCAGAAAGTTTGTAGGCCAACAAATTGGTAACCCGACATGTAATGGGTTTTACAGAACCCAATAAGTAATGGGCCAAGCTAATGCACTCCCAATTGATAGAGTCCATCCCTTGAACAAAGCTTGAAATGGAATTGGACTGAGGTTTCCCTTTTTCTTTTTCTTTTTCTTTTTCCTTTTTAAAAAAAAAAAAAAATTGAACCTCAACCAAACAAAACTTGCACCCCAAGGCACGTACGTCTTACCAAAACTAAAGCTCCGATGGTGGAACAAGATTAGAATCCGACAATGTAATTTCGAGATGATCTGATGGATGCAGAGTATTTGCACGACAAAGAGGGCAATTATGATGACTATCCAACCACTTATCGATACATGTTACATGAAATATATGCGTGCATTCAGGCAATAATCTGACGCCATCGCCTTCCTTAAATTCGCTCAAGCACACAGCACATACATCATCTTTGGATTCTCTGGTGTGCTTCGATGCAATGATCAATTGCACTGATGAATTGCTTGAGTTGGTGGCAGTCGAGGCATGCTCTTGTCCAATATTGCGCGTAATTTGCCTTTGATTCTCCTGACTTGTTCTTCTAGTCCTCGACAAGCAATCGTGAAACACAAATATACAATGGCATAGTGCAACGATTATAGCACCAGCCATGATTCCAAAAAATCCGACCAATATTGGGCTCATTTCAAGTCTCCAAGGTTGTGAAGAATTAGTTAGTGCCATGTTTTTGGTATGTATATGTGTATATATAACATAATTTTTTAATTTCGAGTGACTTATTTATGTTCATAATCAGCTAACGTTACTGGCACGCCCATCGGATGAAATAAATGACTGCTTTTTTGGAGCCAATGGGCCCTAATTTTGTATTTTTTGGAAGGCAGTCATAGTTTTTAAGATTCTTAATTAGTACCTAAATTATATTCTATGTGAACAAACTATTCAACCACTAATAAACATGTCGTTATTTTATTATGGTCAAGTTGGTTTATATGACACGCTTGATTGATTAAACCATTTTTATCCCAATTTTTAAATTTTTTTTTTTAACTTATTATTTATTCACATATTTTTTGGGTCTCACAACTTTAACAACTTTTCTACAACATTTTTATTAATTTGATCAAAATCTATTAAAAATCTGATAGTTAAACCAAACATGGGCTAAGTTTCCAATGCGGCAAGCTCTAATGTATTATTTCTTCCATGATTCTTGATATCGTTCCTCAGGAGAAAATTATGTTGTGGATACAAATCAAGCCAAGTATGACGATGATTTCATGCTCGTTATGAAAGAAAGCCTAAACACTCAGTGGTGACAAGAAGTAGATATAGAGGAAGGTTTTAAGCCATTTCTTTTTGTGTTGTTGTCTACTTTTAATTGATTTCAATTAGGCTTTTTTGAAGTTTTAGTTGGATATAATTGGGAGCATTTTGTACTTGTCTTTCATTTTCGAAGGGGCTTGGCTTCGTTCCCCCTCCCTCCCTTTCTTGTATTTTTCATAATAAATACTCTACTACGGTGGTTTTAAATTTTCTTTTTCTAAAAAAAGAATAAAAATAAAATGAAGAAAGAAAGTTCGCTCGTTCAACATATCTTTCAATTGGAGTCAATTTGTGCAAAAATAAACTAACAAATCCCCAAATACCTATACCTGATTGGGTCGGATTTAGATAATAAGTTTATATTTATCACTTTATTCAAGTTTAAAGAGATAGAGGAAGGCTTTGTGATCGATGGAATTATAAGATTTGACAAGAAAAATGATGTCGAAAGTGACTGAAGGTGAAAAGAATGAAAGATTTGGTTATAAAGCTCGCTCACGCGAGCAAAGCCGGGAAGAATACTTTTAGTCCAATTCTGCTTGCTTGAGTGAGCTATTTTATTAGCACAATCGACCAAAACAAAGTTTTCTTCATGAAAATCCAATGAAGTATTTGATTTTCAATTTGTGTTTTGTAGTTCGAATATGAGTAGCTAACTTCAATAACTAAGACAATGATATAATCTATATTTTGAAACATTTATTTAATTTTCAGTTTTTTTACTTCAAAATATGATTTCATATTGGGTACATGATGTGATCTGAAGAACTTTTTATTTTGGTCCAATTTCTTATTTTTGTTAATTTAGATATTTTAGAACTCTATTTCTGATTTTAATAGATTTCTAGGTATTCTAGAATTTTATTCCATTTAAACTTTATCCTAGGTTTTTAGTATAAATAGGTTTATTTTTCCACTTTGTATAAGAAGACTTTTATCATGAATTGAATGGAGATTTTCCTCTTGAAGCTTTTGCTTCAAAATATCAAACTTATCAAGATTTAATATCTTGTGGCGTTCAAACAAATCATCAAGTTAGATTCTTCGGGTTGTGTAATCAAAAGGTCCTTCGCATCGCCGTTATCGTTGGGTTGTTTGATTCATTAATTTTTTGGACCAAATTCACAAATTCGAAGGAGATTTCAAGATTGTGTGATTAAGAGGTTGTTCGTTTCATATACGTTCGGTTCCTTAGTTCACTTTTGCGGGTCAATTTCTAAACCTTGATTATTATTTGGGCGTTCTTGAGATCCGTTATCAATTCCTGTGGGTTCGATAGCAACCTTACTAATCGGGTTCGCATCATTTAGTATCAGAACCAAGGCACCAAGATCAAATTTTATTTTTTTTTTTTTTTTTTGAGTCTTTTCTTTTTGTTTTCCACGTCTTTCATTGTTCTTGTGTTCTTGTAATTTTTTAATTTTGTTGAGTATTTGATTCGTCATCAAGTTTTCTTAAAAAAAATAAAAAAAATTACTATTCACGAGGGTACTGTTCATGTCCATACGGTAAAAAAAAGTTGAAAAAAAAGGGTGTCCAAAAAAAAAATGTCGAAAAATTTGATTCGGAGATTTGAGAAGATACTTGAGAATATGGGGAATAAGATGGATAGGATTGATACAAAATTGAAAAAAAATTCATAGGGATCGATATGTTGAGGGGTTCAATGTGAGAAGACGGGAATCTAGAATGAAAAATTGTGATGCATATGGATATGGTGGTGACATTGATGAGGTATGGGGATTGAGGAATCAATGTGATAGAGTTGAAAGAAGGGAAAAGAAAACACCTAGTGCGAAGCATGTGCGTAGTAGATCAAGTGAGTTGGCGAGTCGGGATTTTAAATTAGAAGTACCAGGGCTTCGTGGTAAGGTTAATTCTCAAATTAATCACTTGGAGGGGCAAGAGAGTAAAGGAGAAATTAGTGAGGTGGTTGATTGTGAGAAAAAAAGGAGAAGAGTCACGAGAAGATGAAAAGTAAGTCGAAAGTGAAAATGACGAAGTGATTAAAATAGAAGAGGAGATACAAGTGAAAAATGGAGTAGGGTTTTCTGAAATCGAAAAGGAGTTGGGAGTGAACTTGCATGAAGAGAGGGTTAAAATTGAGCAGGTGCTGGCAAACACTAACATTTCCCTCCCTATTTTAGATAAATTTGTTTTGCAGGTTCACGACGACTTGATTCCAAAAATTAATTCAATTAGAATCCCTTACAATCCAGGCATTAATTACCAAATGGTGGATGCAATTCAACTACAACCACGTCCTAGTTTGAACATCACTATATTACCGGAGATTGATTTTGTTATCCTTGAAAAGACGAAAGAATTTCAAAAGCAATGGAAGGAATTAATATGGTGGGAAACATGCATCCAGTGAAAGTAATATTGTCACCATCATCTGGACCGAGTAAAGCATGGAAAATGAACGGTGATTTATCAACTGAAATCATTCTTGGAGCATCACGAAACGGCAAAAAGAAACCGTCAAGGCGTACACACTTTGATCTGTGTAAGGGTGATTGTGTCTACATTCAAAAGAGGAGAGGTCAAAAGATGTCCAAATTGTATCTGAGAGGTGATGGGTCATTTCATGTGCCTGAGTTGATTGAAAGTAAATGCTATAACTTCGATTAGGACACGACGAATCCTCTTGAAAAGGGAGGGTCTGATATATTCTGGAGAAGTTTTATTTTGATTCAATTTCTTATTTCTGGTAATTTAGATATTTTAGGACTCTATTTCCGATTTTAATAGATTTCTAGGTATTCTAGAATTTTATTCCATTTAAACTTTATTCTAGATTTTTAGTATAAATAGATTTATTTTTCTACATTGTATAAGAAGACTTTTATCATGAATTAAATGAAGATTTTCCTCTCGAAGTTTTTGCTTCAAAATACCGAACTTATCAAAATTTAATATCTTGTGGCGTTCAAACAAATTATCTGGTTAGATTCTTTGGGTTGTGTAATCAAAAGGTCCTTCGCATCGTCGTTATTATTGGGTTGTTTGATTCATTAATTCTTTGGGTCAAATCCACAAATCCGAAGGAGATTTCAAGATTGTGTGAGTAAGAGGTTGTTCGTTTCATATATGTTTGGTTGCTTAGTTCACTTTTGCGGTTCAATTCCTAAACCTTGTTCATTATTTGGGCATTCTTGGGATTCGTTGTCAATTCCTATGGGTTCGATAGCAATCTTACTAACTAGGTTCGCATCAATACAATTCGCAAGTAGAAATTTTTTTAGGCTTAATAGCGGAAAACCCCGTACCTATTAGACATTGGGCAAAAAACCCCCTAACTATTAGAAATAACAGAAAAGTTTCCTATTTGCAACCTTTAGTGTGGAATACGCTATTTTAGGCACGGAAAACTCCTTACTGTTTAATTCCATTAGTTTAACCATTAGAAACAATAAAAATGTCATAATTAAAAAGGAATAACTGCAATTACAATCCCAATTTTTTAATTTTTTTGCAAATTATGCCTATTTTTTATATGTGCCGCCCACCATCTCAAATCTTTAAAACTCTATTTTTCTGCCCACCCAATCCCATCCTACTTCATCTTCTTTCCCACCTTCAACCATACCCATGCGGCCACCTTCAACCAACAATAACTCCACCATGCTGCCACTTAAGTCGTCGGACTTGGCCACCAATGGTGATAGCATCATCCTATCGTCACACTCTACCCACCTGCCTTATCTAACGCAACCACAATTGGATCCCACGAGACTTGAAAACCACAAAACGAGAAGAATACACATTGCGTCACCAAAAGTTCACGTTATCCTGAAGCAATATTGTAACGCCCCAAAATCGATTTCATTTTTATTTTATAAAAATAGACTTGAAGTGTTACAAACAAATTTCTTTATCTAATTTAAGCGAAAATTCACTTCTATTTTTTTTTTTTTTTAAGATTGAATCGGTAATTCGATAATGATAAACTAACAACTTAAGCGAAAATTTTCATATTAAATAAAAGTCTGGAATTACTACAAATTTCAAATTATCAATTTAAATCTAAAATAGAATTTTTAATGTTCGCACACACAAAAAAAAGGGATATATGAAGTAACGTGCATAAAAGTCAATCATAAATATGTTCTTCAAATGAGACCTTTTGTAAATTATCATTTTTAGAAATTTTACTCGGTGACCTCATAAGCATCATTCGGTCAATCTGCTACATGTTTACACGACCCGTTCTAATCTAAAAAATTATTATAAGAGTGAGTATTTTGAAAAACACTCGGTAAGAAATACGTGCATATTCTTATTAACGTAATATAAATATAAAATGGTATAGCATACCGACATTTCTTGTATTTAGAGTAAACTTGTCGTGACATCCAATAACTCAAAAAATTTCATAAGAATTCCTATATCGT